GGCGGACTCTCAACCACTGCGCCACGAGGGAAGCCCACTACGATGAATTTTTGACATTCCTTCCATCCAGAGGCAGGGTTTGGCTCGCCTCCCCTTGAACCTGAGCAGGCTTGAAACTGCTACAACTGATAGAGTCGAGAGGAAGTGATGCTCTGTGACTTCTGAAACCAGACCCTAGAAGGGGGTGGAGCATCCACCTTCGTGGCTGGAATACTCGCTGGAGTTCTCATCCGTCTCGTATGGACTCTGACTGCTCGACTGGAGAGGGTGCATGTAGGCGCTCAAAGCGACAGTCACAACTGAATTGTGAGTCTGTGAGTCGACAGCTAGATCAGCTGCCAGTCCTGTGAATGAGCCGTTTGGATGGTCAGCCTGGCCGAACCCCCAGATGACAGCAGCCCAGCCAACAGTGGCCGCAGGAGAGACCCCAGTGAGAACCACCCAGCAGAGCCTTTCCCAGCTTTCTAATCTCCAAATTCCTGAGCAAAGGAAAATGGTTGTTGGTCTACACAACTAAGTCCTTGTAAGTTGCTACAGTAATAGTGATGTGATCAGAATAATTACGGGCTGCGGGTTGTTATAACGGCAGGGGATTGAAGGGAAGGGAGACGCTAGAGGTCAAGCCTGTATCAGGCAGTCCTGAAACCAGCTGTAAGTCAGAATCTCTTGGTGGGAGTTTGTGCAGTCTCTGACTCAATGTCTTAGATGAGCCCAAGAATCTCTATTTTTAAAATAATCTCCTATAAAAAAATTAAAACTATTTTTATCACAATAGTGATAGATGCCCAGTACAAAAGGATATAAATCTTACCCCCCAACCTTGTGACTCTCTCTTTTCTTTTTTCTAATTTTCCTGCATATTTGTTTCTTCAGGTGAAATCAGGATCATTTTGCCATGTTCCTCCCAAATCCTGTTGGTATTTTGATTGAGATGGTATTAAATGCATAGGTTAATTTATGGAGAAATAAAATCTTTTCAACACTGAGTCTTTTCAGCCAAGAACGCAGTATGTCTTTCAGATTTTTTCAGATGTTCTTCTATGTCCCTTGGTAGCGCTTTACCATGCCCATCAGCTAGGTCTTGCCTATCTCTGGTAAAGTTTACTGTAGGCAGTTTATCTTTAAGCTGATATTGTAAATGGGATCTACTACTTCTATTTTATTTTTAATTGATATTTTCATATAGGAAAGCTATTGATTTTTTCATGTTCATTTTGCAATCAACCACTAGCTGAATTCTCTCATTTCTGATAGTTTTTCAGTTGATTCCCTGGTGTTTTTCAGATACATATCATCTGCAGATAATTTGGGCTCACACTTTCCAAACTGTATACCTCATTTCTTTCCCTTGCTAATTGCAGTGGCCAGTGCTTCTAAAATAATGTTAAATAACAATGACACAGTGGGCATACATGTTTACTAATATGATTTTGGCTTACAATTTGGGAAATTTGTACCAATGGAATCTGATAGAAGCAATGCCCAGATCAGCATTGGGGAACCACTGACATATCATCTTCATCCGTTTATTTTTTGTCTGGAAGCATATTGCTATTTCCATGCTACAGGATATGAGAGAACACGAGGTCCGTAAAACTTCCTAAGATTCTGTAAGCCAGGATGGACCCCCTCGTTATTGATGGGGAAGGGTGTGGTAACTCCTTGTATAGTCTTTGGTTATAGCCCTAGTCACTTGTGCTTTAGGCTGTTTAAGATTGACTTCTCCCACCTGGGAACCATCCTTATCACTCCATCCTGTACTTGGCACAAAGGAGACTCTCAGATGAAGGACATCTGTCTCTTATCCTTCACTTCGTCCTGTCTCTCTGACTAGAGAAATCAGGTTCTTGAGATTCCTATCCGCCTTCTCCTGTCACCTTCCTTGAGTGGTGTTTAGGGAGCTCACAGATCTGACCAGCCCGTCTTCACGGGAGATGGTACGCAGTGCACAAGATTATCAAATGACCCAGATCTTCCAAGTCATGATATCAGCGCAGTTTTTCAGGAAAGGATAAACCAAGCCAGAGGTGGTTGAAAATGTATTTATTTTTCTTCAAATGATCTTTTTTTCAAGCAATAAATAAAAACTGACATGTTTGACTTTTCTAAAAAACAAAACCAAACAAAAAATCCCCTAGACTATATACATCCTACAGAAATACAAGCATATCAAATGTAGAAATGACATCACTCTGAAACATGGGGCTATTTACAGAAGTTACAAGTATTGCATTGCTCTGTCTTGAAGAAGCCTCTTTCTCCTATGACTCCTAAACTCTAAGGAAGGGCAGGGTCCTCTTCAAAGAGGTGGCACTCTCCATCCTTCTCGATAGACAGGGAAACTTTCAGGGAAGAACATCAACATCCAGACACTGTATTCGGTTTCCTAACAACGCTCCGCAGATCAGCTGGCTTTCAAGGGGCCTGAAAGGGGGTCACGTGGCCCCTGAGCTCCTGACAGAAACCATCTTGTCCCTCAGCAGAGCTGAGGGGACTGACCATGAGACCACACTGAACTAGTGACAAACCCCTGGCTGTGGCTTCTGCCAGACAAGCCAGCTCTGTGTTATCAAGACCCAGCTTCCAAGAGCACCTTGCCATCCAGAAAGTAGCTTCCCAAACTTGGTTACACACGGAAAGCACCTGGGGAGCTTTGAAACCTACTGATGCCTGGGTCCCTCCTCCAGAAATCCTGCTGTACTTGGTCTGGGATCGCCTGGTAGCAGGGTTTCAAAGCTCCCCAGCTGAGGCCGACGGGCAGCCAGGGCGAACCACCACTTTACCAACTAGAGGCTTGGCGGCCCCTCCAATCTCACAGCCCCTTCCCCTCACATTTGAATCACCCGTCCCACCTCCCTCTGCCCATCTTCCCGCGGATTCTACATTTTTTCTCGTGGCTTCCCAACCTTTTGGGTAACTCTCTGGAATCGGGCTAGGATGGGTACCTGAGGAAAATGGTCTCAGGAGGCCACGACTGAGGCTGGGAGCTCCCGGCCACCGGCTCACAGGCGGCTTCAGCCGAATACTGCTCGGGGGAAGCTCCACGAACACACTTGGGTCACACAGAGATGCCGGGAGGGAACCGGCAGCATTCTCCAGTCTCTACGGAAGATCCAGAGTGCCTACTGCCTTTGTCAACAGCACAGTTGATCTTCGGTGTAAGTGGCAATGCTTTCCAGCCATGACACATATTTCACGTCCCCAGAAATCACTCCATGGGAGAGACACCTGTTGAAACCCACTGGCCATTTGGACAGACCCTGCGGTGCTGTCTTCATTACAGCTATTCCAAGTCATCAAAGAGGCTTCTGACGGGTAAATAGTGACCCAAGTCCCTGTTTCCAATCAAGCCAATTTCCTATTTGATTTCTAAGAGTTTGGGGGCTGCTATTGGGTACCAAGAAAATGGCTTTATAAATAGTGGTTTGACGCTGTGACAGAAGACTTGAATTGGAAAGCAGGGAAAAGACCTGTCTGGCGCAGGTCCTGGGCTCCGACCGTGTGGTTGGGATCCAGTCTGGGAAAGCAGGATACACAAGTTTTGGCCAATGTACACTCATTCTGTAAAAAGCTACCTTCCCTCCTCTCTCAAGCAGTCCCTCCTGCGGGCCTATCTGCTTGTGGGAACCCACACTTTTTCAGACAGGGCTTGGGAAAGGCAGGACAAATGATGCCAACACAGGCTCATGTTTATGGAAGGAAATGTAAGGAACCTGGTCCTGTCTGGGATGTGGGGCTGAGAAGGAGCATTCCAACACTATTCCAACCTTGAGGCTTGACGTTATTTATGGGTGAACAGGAATGTGCATCACTTAGATCCTCAGAAGGCTAAAAAAAACCCAAAAAACAAAACCAAAAAGCATGCTCTCGCTTCTAGACAAGTTTGGAATTACCTCTAACCTGGTACTGGGTAACAACACTGTTCCACGATACTACAAATTAAATAACACGTGGTTTGTCCCGTCCTCCCTCCCCCCAAGCCCAACCCATCTCCTTCTTTCACCAAAAGCCATTCCTCCATCTGGAAAGGGCCCTGAAAATGGCAGTATCCCAAGAAAGGATTCTAAGACGGCACACAAGTGCCCTGGATGCCTGTCACAGAAACCAAGCAGCCAGCCCCCCCACAGAGTCTGCCCGACTCTTCACTCACTCTCTCTTGCTGTCCTAGACTTCCAAGGGACCTGAAATGGGGTGTCCACTCTCTTCTTTTTATTCACCTATTCACTTTAAAAATATTCACCGACACCACGAATTTTAAGAACCCAAGAATTTGTTGGTGTACTTCATTCCAAGCAAACCCCCTAAAATTAAAAACTCTGATTTATGCAAAAGAGAAAAAAGATGGTGCTTCCACTTCCAAAAGGATCCATTTCGGGTCTATCTCTCTTAGCTGGGTTCCCCAACGGCCTTGCCAAATGATTCACTGCAGGAAAAGCTGAATTGCGCCCAATTTTTTTACGAGCACCTTATATGATATGGCATTTATCACAGATGATATACAAGTTCTCAGGCAGGTCTATGAGAAAAATGCTTCCACCGCCACAGTGAGTTATTGATCACCGGAAACGGTTGTATTGTTGTGGTTTCAAATCGCTTCAGTGGCCCATGTGCCCAAGAACCAAGTGTGCTCCACGCTCCGTATTCGCGGATGCAGTATTCGCGGACGCAGTATCCGCGGATGCAAGAATCAGCGGATTTACGCATCCACGGATTTGGGTATCCGCGATGGAGGGAAGGGGTGCTGGAACCAATCCCCGGCAGATACCGAGGGAGGCTGTAATGAAAAAGTAGTCCCTTCCTTTCTTCCTCCTCCCACCCCACCCTGCCCCCTTCTCAGCGGTAACAAACGCAAGCTGACCATCATGCTAACTTGTACACACCACTTACTTCCTAACTGCTTTGACGTCTGCATGCTATTGTGCTCTGCTGATCCACATTAACATAAATATATTCTAAATTCACCATCACTAGACTCTTTGTACTTACATACTCTGAGGAAATTCTTAATAAATACTTTTATTTATTATTAAGCATAATTATTCACCTGTTGGTGGTGACTTAGAAAGGAAAACCATGTCCTAAAAGATTTCTTTAAAAAAAAAAAAAAAATCCTGTAACTACAACAACAACAAAAGGACCGAGCACACAGAACCAGGCACTTCTGGCAAACTTGATTTTATCTTGTCCCTTTCCCTCCCCTCCCTCCCTTCCCCTCCCCCTCAACAGAACTGGGTGGGCACATTTGCCAGGATCTGCGGGTTTCCTAACTTCAAGCCTTACTGCTGAAAAAAATGAGGTAAGAAATTCCTATCTGAAAAGTAAAACTGACGCACAAACCAAAACCCAGGTCTTCCCTGCCTGCCGAGGAAGACATTATTGCTCTAAGTTGGAGTGTTGTGTTTGTTTGCGTTAAATATGTATTCGAAGTCCTTATTGCCATTCTAGCTGGCCCCCCGGTTGGCCAAAGAGAGATGGATGGAAGGAGCTCTGTCGCCCCCTGCGGGCCAGTCCCGACCTGCTGCCCGCACAGGGCGCCACCCAACCCGGGCTGAGAGCCGACGGGTGTAGGGGAGGGAGGATTCGAGAGGCTCTAACAGCTGGGGGAGGTGGTGATGGGGCTGTGCAGATAGGGCAGGCTGCTGGGCGCCGGGTGCCCCCCGACGGAGACCGGGAAGCTGAAGACGAACTGCGACGTAGGGGTGGGAGTGGCCTTGCCCCGCTCGCGCAGCGGCCCCGACGGGCTGGCGGCCTCCACCGCGCAGGACGTGGCCAGCACCTGCGACTCGAACTGCAGCAGCTGCCCCATGAAGCTGAAGTTGGGCGAGATGATGCTCCGCCGCTGCTTCACGAACTCGAAGGCCTCCTCGAGCCTCACGCGCTTCTTCATCATCAGGTAGGCCAGGCAGATGGTGGCCGAGCGCGAGATGCCGGCCTGGCAGTGCACCAGCACGCGCCCGCGGCAGTCCTTCACCGCATCTGGGGCAGAGAGCGGCGCGCCGTTAGCGGCGCCCAGGTCCCCATCCTTCCCGGAAGGCGGCTGCAGGCGGCCTCAGCCGGGACGAGGGTGCGGGGAGGACTGGAGAAGAGGGGGCCCTGCGGCTGAACCCCTGAAGGAACAGCGCCTCCCAGGCTGAGGCCGCGCAGGGAGGAAACCCACGGGGGGAGGGCCTCTAGAGTCCCACCCCCGCTAGAGTATTTCGGAGAATTACGCAAACAAATGTACTACGCTTAGGAAATACGCCAGCTGGAGCTGGAGCAATCCCCGCACACAGGCAGGGTTTTCATTTGCAGGAACAAAAACAATGACCCAATCCTTCTTTTGTCTCCCTCCCCATCCCCAGAGTCTTATCCTCTCGGCACCTGGGGACGTCCAAGGAAAAGGTCCTTGGCTCTGTAAGCTAACAGCACCTGCTGTTTGCCTAGGTCCGTCAGACCATCCAGGGCCTGCACAACACCCCACGGGCAAGCCTTCCTACTGAGGAAGAGGGGAAACAGGCAGCCCCCCCCACCCCGGATATGGCCCTTCCTAAGTCCCTCCTTCCACACACCAGCTACACGTGGTTCCCTCTTCCCTCCCATCCTCCCTCCGCCAGACCTGGGCCCAGCACCCTGGCCTGGGAGGACCCAGCACCCTGGCCGGAGCCAGCCTACCGATGTACTCGATGGCCACCATGAACCAGGAGCTGATGTCGGCCTTGTGGCTGTCCTCCACCGGGATGCACTTGTACTGGTAATGTCCTTCAAAGTGGTTCGGGCAGTCAGAGGAGACGTTCAGCAAGGCTGTGATCCCCAGGGCGTCCAGCATGTCTCGCCGGGCTGCGTGATAGGCGCTGCCGAGGTAGAGGAAGGGAAGGATCTCCACGGGACCCCCCTGCACCAGAGAGGGAAAACAAAGCGCCCCCCACCCCCCACCGGCAAACGTCGTTAAGTGAAAGGCAACTGGGCAGGGGGCTGGGACGTGTGGGGGCGGGGAGAGGGAAGCCAGTCTCAGGTGGGCTTTCATGGGCCCCGGGGACACTGCCGGTGGACCCGGCCCCTCCAGGTTTCCCGTGTGCCGCTCGGGCCCCGGCAGGGAGCGATGGGCTCTGGCCTTTCTGCTCTGCTCTGCTATGGGCCCCACCTGCTGGTTCAGGCAGACCACTTCCCCCGTGACAGATGAAGCTGGCTGTGCCCCACTGTTTGTGACGCGAAGAGCTTACACCCGGTACCGCTGAGCTACGCGGCCTAGGCGCTTATTCGGCTGGATACGCCTTCACTTGGCAGATGAAAGGCAGATGCCATGTCCACCTCACACACAAGAGGAGGCATCCTGGCAAAATGAGGTAACGCTGGCTTCACTAACGACAATCCTCTGAGTCAGATCAACACAAGTGATCTCGGATTTGGGGAGCAGAGTTGCTGGACCCCATACATTTACTCCATTTCCATCTAAAGGAAAGGGCTGGAAGAGGTGGGCTTGTACGAACCGTAGTGGCATAAGCTGCTTTTCTTGGGAGAAGGGTTGGTTGATCATTTATGTCCATTTAGCATTTACAATTAACTTGTATGGGGGGCGGACAGCCGAACTGTTTTGAATCGGGCAGTCCACATGCTTCTGGCCTCCTTCCTTGCTTGTCTGCACATAACTCTAGAGGCTAAGTCAGGGACGTATGTGTTTATATTCTTTTCTTAGGTGAGGGTAATAAGAGAGGGAAGGGGAAGACTTCCAAGGAATAGTGGACTCCACCTAACATCACACCCCGATACTCAACACATTCTCCCCACATTGAGGCACTGCGTCCAAAGCCTTTGACAAGCAGTCCTCTTCGCACCTGGTCGTGCAGTGGGGTGCCGCAGGAGCTGCAGCCCAGGTCCAAGGACTCGGCCGTGCTTGGGGGCACAGCAGGTGGGATGGCTGCCAGGGCCTTGGTTTTAGAACAGAATTCCGGGTACTCGGAGGAAAACCTCTCATAGCCACCTGTAAAGTAGAAAGATATTCAGGTTAATGGGGTCGCTGAGCCAGCAGGAAACCACAAAGAACTTGAATCCTACCTGATGGAGGAGAGCTGTTGGGAAGCTGGGGCTGGTTGTACCTACATTTGACACTGGGTGGCACTGTGGGCCCAGAGATAATGGCTATGGAGACCTTTTTCCCTGGGATGCAGAGATTACATTCGGCCAACACTGCATCCCGAAAGCGGGAATGAAAGCTTTAGGGACAAGACTTCGGATTGGGATGCAGATACACAGAGGAGGATGTGCAGGGGAGATGAAGAAGCGGTAATTTCTTTACAGTGATGACAAAGAAAGAGGGAATAGCCACTGGGGGTTTCCATGAGCACTTCAGCTGGCCCCTGCGCCCTACAAAAATGTCTGTCATCCCCCCACTACAGCCCTTCTTTTAGAGAGGTTCTCCAATGTGCGAGAGAATAAAAAACTATTACCCTGGCACCGGCCCTTCTGGATCTCAGCAACAGAACAGATACCAATCGCACGGCCCCATGAACAGCTGTTCCATGGACATGGGGCCAAAATGAGAGCAAACGGGCTTAAATCTAAATAAATCCCTCTTGCTACATACAGGTTTGGGGCAAGGGAGGATTTCCTGACCTGAAAGTTGCTAAGCCCTGGAATGGTTCTCTGTGGGGTCGTCTTCCGGGGAAGGAAGGTCGTTTAAGTAAAAAGAGATAAACGGCCAACTTCTCTGCAATAGTGTCAGTGCCATTCAGGAAAGGGCCGGCTGGGCGGACGTGGGCAGAGATGCGGGCAGAGATGCAGGCAGACGCAGGCAGTGAAACACACCAAGAAGAGAGACATTCAGCCTGTATATCTGATTTTCTTGTGATCTCTGGGACTTCCCTTTGCGGGACACTTACCATCTATTGTCAAGGTTTGGCCCTGCTTGTATTTTTATTTTTGCAGTTTCTGTTGGACCAAAAATGGATTATAAATGAATTCAGTAGGGTCTGCGGGTTCTGGAACAACCACTCAACTGATGGTCACATAGGCAGCTAGCCCGTTACGTCTTTATGACTAAGTGATAGGGTGGGTGCCACTGTTCCCGATCACCACTGTGCAAAGCAATTTTCCAACATGTGACGGTTAGTCAATTACTTGCCCTGAATCCCAACCCTAGAAACTTCCGCTTTGGAGAGGAAAGAAAATTATGTTCGCCACGTCATTAAGGCTTCCAGAAACAGGGCAGACATTTTTTCCTCTCTGACTGGAGGCCTCCTGTTTCCCCCACTCCCTCCCTCAGGCTATAAATGGATATTTCTCTGGTCCCAGGCCCTGGCTCCTGCTGAGTCATAATGACCAGCCTCCCTGGAGGGAAAACCTGCTGAGGGGCCAGTACTGCCCGCTTCAGATGTGCTGGTGGCCTCAGTGGACTTCTCGTCGCAGGAAGGAGCGGCCTCCCTCCCGTTATCACCCCCATCTGTCCCCTTTCCCTATAAAGCTGTAAACACCGCTGCCCCAAGTGCGGTGTGTGCGGGAAGAAAAGCCAGCAAGTGCCTCTAGCTGAAGGCCCTGGGATGGGAGACTTCGGGAGACGCTGCCCTTTGGAGAAAGCGGAGGGAGAAATGGGTCACTCAACCAACGGAGGTTGATCATCTATATGAAAAGCCATCACTTGTTATTCTAGAGACTTCTACAGGATTTGAATTTTTTTTTTTTTTTTTTTTTTGCGGTACGCGGGCCTCTTACTGCTGTGGCCTCTCCCGTTGCGGAGCACAGGCTCCGGACGCGCAGGCGCAGCGGCCATGGCTCACGGGCCCAGCCGCTCCACGGCATGTGGGAGCTTCCCGGACCGGGACACGAACCCGTGTCCCCTGCATCAGCAGGCAGACTCTCAACCACTGTGCCACCAGGGAAGCCCAGGATTTGAAATTTTTTAAGTAAGATGATCCGTGTCTTTATTACAAACTTTGAGCTAGTAAAATACATTTTTTTCAAAGAGATGCAAGGCATGAGTGGTGCCCTCCAAAAGCTCATCAGCTAGACAGGCAGGCCAACAGTCACAGGAGGGCCAGGGCCCGGCTCCAAGGTCACGGAGGAAGAGCAGGCCTGAGGGCAGCAGGAGCTAAGGAAGCTCAGAGTGGTGGGAAGAATGTTCTCGCTGCTGAGAAGGTACACGACAGGGCACCAGACTGAAGTCCTGAAGAGCCTCGCCTCTGCAGTCGGACTCACAGGTCTGGGTTCAATCATCGGCTGTGCAGCCTTGGGGCCGTCACTGAACCTCTCTGAGCCTCTTCCTCATCTGTACAATGTGATGAAGCTTCCAGGCCAGGAGTCTCCTGTGAGGACTGACTGGAACGGCCAGTGCACTGCACCGGGCCTCGGGGAGAAGCTCAATGAAGGTTTTCTTTTTTGGTACCTACAGGTGACTTCGGCTTTACTGGCAACTTCTCAGACCCTGGACAGCCTTCTCCTCCTGGGCTTTACTTATTTTTTCCAGTAGGCATCTTGAGAGCTGGTAATTAAGACAGCAGAAGAACAGGTGCTGGGCACTTCCTGAGCCCTGAGTGCCCTGCGCAGTCAGGGACATCTGCTACCTCCCAGGGTCAACCGTCAATCAATCCGGGGCGGGGAGGGCCCAGCAGAACCCTCGGAGGGCTCCGAGGCCAATCGCACCTGTGCAGGGGAGGGTGCAGGCGGCCCAGAGGCCAGACCCGGCCTGAGGGGGGCTGTCTGTCGTCACCCCCAGGCTGCTCATAGCAGGACAGAGAGACAGCAACTGTCAGGAAAGGCACCATTACAACAAAGTGGAGAAACACGATTACTGAAGAGTCTGTTCCCTCTGGGGGGTTTTCAGAGAACAGGCAGAAAGGAACCAAGTGAAGAAGCAGATCTGTTCAAGGGACAGGAACAAGGTGAGGGCTGCGTCCCTCGGTGGCAGCGGTGGAAAGGTTTTCCCTCCTGAGCCGTTGCTAGCTTTGGGGGCAGTCTGTGGCTGGTAGTTACAAGGAGCATCACCAAAGGATCTCCTTCTGGGGCCGAGGTGCTGCACTCAGGCCAGGCCCTCGGATGAGCTGAATGTGCCCTGGTGGGCCTGGAGCTCACAGGCGAGGCAGTGCAGACACAGGAGTGCAGGTCAGGGGCCATTCAGTCCACACCCCACCCACAAGGCCACACGCCAGGAAGCCACCTCCAGGTATCCCATGCGTGTTCATAAAAATGACAGACCCTCTTAAAAGGAAGTGTTCATTACGTGTCAGGCTCTTCCCACACAGATATCCAACCAGTAGCCCTAGAGGAAGGCATGACAAGCCCCAGTTTTACAAAAGAGGAAGCGGAGGTGCAGGGCAGCCCGCAGGTAAGGGCGGGACCGGCATTCAGCCCACAGAAGGGGCCTGAAAGCCCCTTTGAAGCTGGCCGTCAGGAGCCCACCCTGCTGCTTGCCCACTGCTGCCTCCCCGGTGGGCCTTCTCTAGGGGCCTTGCCTGCTGGTTTCATCACGTGAAGAAAGAGTTTTCACGCAGAAACAGAAGGGATGTGAACAGAGCACTGCTGACACTTCACCAAACTGCTTCTTTCCGGTGCTTTTCCAGGTAGTCATGGAGGAGTCGTGACCAGCGTTTTTCTATTTAATGAAATAGAATAGAAGCTACTTGAATGCGCTGCATTTACAGAGCGTGTAATTTCATGGCACTGTGCTTTCAGGGTGACGGTCCCCGTCACAGGGACTTCAGCTAAAGCCACTTGCTAGCTCTTCTTCCCCCACACACCGCCTTGACTCCAGCCCGAGTGTGGCATTAGCCCCGTCGGTGTGGGGCTACAGACACCTGGCCAGGTGATGAGCTTACTGGAGGGTACCACTCACGTCTTACATCTCTTGGGAAAACATGTATTTTAAGAGCTCAAATTATGTAATAAGCACACGGATCATTTCACTTAAAAAAAAATTCAAATCATCTCGAAGAATATAGAGTAGCTCTATACTGGGTCATGGCAGAAATGAAACTGAATTTCTTAGGGTGGGTGGGATTGAAGAAGACTGCCCCCAGCCCCCTCTCCTCCGTGCCTCCCTTCCCAGCCCACATCTGTGCAGGTACCAGAGCCTCGGCCCTTCCAGTAAGTGCTAGATTTAGATCTCCAAGTTTTATCCAAAACTCATGAGAGGGAAAGCTTATTGTCACTGTAGACCCGGAGGGGAGCGCTCTACCCCGTGACCCCTGCAGATGTGCAGGGTAGACACAGCAGACAGGTGTGGACGCATCCCAGCTCCGACTGTGGAAGCCCAGCTAACACATTCCCTCTAAGTCCTGTTTTCCACCCTCCAAATGTAAGGATTCCAGACGATATCATCTGTAAGTTCCAACATTCTGTGATCCTGAACGTTCACAAACCACTCATTTGCAAACTACACACTGACAGCAGGTGCCTCAAGACCTATATTTCCATCTTCTGAACACATTTTCACAGCACAAATGCCAATGAATTCCCACCTGGTTTTCTCCTACGTCCTATTGCATGTAATTCTGTAACAGACATGCTGACTAATTTTGACCCGTTTTTCTCATGTTCTTATTTAACAATGTACCTTCTAGTCTTAAAGCTCTCATTTTCTCAACTTCATTTTAAAATTTGAGAGTCTTGGGGGGCTCGGGGGAAACAGGACTATAATTTTCCACTTGATTCCCCTGAGGAATAACTACATCTAAGTTCCATTCTGTGTTCCTTTCATCTTCTCACAGAAACTGTAGCTTTGAAAACTGGCTGGCCTCCTGCTTATGCAGGGGTGGGAGTGAATGTGGGAGAAAGTCCTTGGGAAAGGGCAGGCTGGCGTAGTGCTGGTCGTCTCACCATAATAGGACTCTTAATGGGGTCTGTGATGGGAAAGACTGTCTCTTGGTGGTGACGATGGTCACGGATCTTAACGTGGCTGCCAGGTTTTTCCTGTGACCCTCTCCACGCTCAGAATATCACCGGTTCACAGACAGGGCTCATGGCCTCGCTCTCTTGGGACAGCTTATCAATACGAGGCAAATGTTGCCCAGCAGGCAAGTCTGGGGACATTCGAAGGTCCCTTGGCTTTGAGAACTTCCCTTGATGCGGGTGTTGACCTAGGAAGCGCCCCTCTAAATGCTGAGCAGCATTTCCAGTTTAGCTAAATGGGCTTCTCACCTTGGGGCTCGGTGTCAAGACCTCGGTCCCGGGCCAGCTGGGCTGACACCTGATGCCACACTCGGGCTGGACCTTGTTTGCAGCCCCTCCCAGAGTCCTTCTGTGCTATCTGCTCCGTTCAGCAAGCCGCCTTCCGCTGAGAGTCTACATTTCTTCCTCTCAAACTTCCTCTTTGTTAGATGGGAACTGCCTCCCAGCAAGAAAACCAGCTATCTGCTTTCAGATGTTCTGATTTTTTTCAAGGAATTTCTTGGCCCTTTAAAAAGGCCACCCTTTCTCCTCCCTGAGTTCTCTGTGCAGCCCACCTTGGTGGGGACAGCCACCTTTCCTGTAAGCATCCAGGAGAAGCCCAAGGGAGCTGCGATAGGCTTACGGACAATCAGGTTGCCACTCTCAATTTACACCTACACCCTGTCTTTAGTTGCTTTTGTTGGTTGGAAACATCCAGTTCAAATGATGCAAAGAGTAGTGAGTTTGCTTCATTCCTTACAATTCATTAAGGCTTTCGACTAGGGGTTAGGAATTACCTTTAAGGCCTAATTTTTTTTTTTTTTTTTTGGTAATTCTAACAATTCTTGGCTGTCATGGGCATTGTGTCCTGTTTGCAAGGAGAAAAGCCAGTCCTTTTGCCTTTGGGTGAAAGAGGTGTTCAACCTTAGCGTCCCCCAGGACTCTGCTGTTTGATGCCACTGACCTCCTGGAAACGAGGATGGACAGGGCAAATGGACACAGAGAAAGAAAAGACAGAAGACAGACACCCGAACCCCACCCATAGCATTCATTACGGGCCTTAGTGGCTGTTTTCACAGGAAGCATAATGTCAGGTCTGTATGATCAGGCCTGGGGACTGCTGGGTAGGTGACTTCCAACCTGGAAGGAGAAGTTGGAGTATTTAGTTGATCTTCCCAGTTTCTCAAAACAGCTCCAGGACAGCTTTTAAATCAGAACTTGAATAAGACTGACAAAGGTCATGGGCTGAGACGAATTTTAGATAGAAGGAAAAGTAAGATAATGTTTTTATACCTGACATCTTCTGCAAAACAGACTGATTTATCTGGAGACTGTGGGAGGTAAAGGAAGACTTCTGTTAGGGTAAGAAAATGCTCTTTTTGTCTTTCTCTACTGACCCAGGGTGGATGGGGTGGGAGCGGTTGTCTAAAACCCTATTCCAAGGATCTATGAGGAGTGAGAAAGGGATTTCAAAGGAGACGTGTACTATAATAAAATCTGAAAAGCTAAACTTTCTAAACTGTCCCTAAAAATGTCTTACAGGATTTTAAATAAAATGAGCTTAAAAAAAAGTTTATCCCAATGGGAAGCTTTTACTAGCCAAAAGACCAGAAAATGTAGTGATTTGGGTTACTGCTTTTAGCAAACCTTGGGTAATATTAGGAAATGTAAAGGCCAGATAGTATTTCATTGATAGAAAGTAAAGTTTACTCTTAACTATGAATTCTTGCCTGTAGTATTAGTTATTAACTGCCTGCAATGAGTAACCAACTTCCTGCCCTTCAAAGTGGCAGAAATGGGAAAATCGGCCTTTAAAAATGCAATTAATTGGTAGAATTAGATAGCCTGTGGCCAGGAAGGGTAATAGAGCTTCTGAAAATGCCCAGCTGTTTTTACTCTCCCTCCAGGACGGCAGACACCAACAATCAGTCTTCCACTGGCTTAATGTCTGACCACTTTTATTCCACACCCACCACTGCACATGAAATGAGACTCCCAGGAAGGCCCATTGGCTGCAAAATAAAGGAACAACTCCGGTGGGAAAAAAATTACCCAACCCCTAATCAATTAAGGCATTTACTAAAGATAATCTAAGGGGCTTGTCTCCCCCTGTTTCCCTTTAGTTCGCCGTCCCCAGCTCCCCCCTGCCCATGAGCCCACATTTCCTGCCATTCCACTTCTCCAAGGAATAAGAGTGCAGGAGGCATGGCTGTCCTCCCCCAGAGGCACGTTCCCGCAGCGCTGGGGGAGCAGACCACGCCCATTTCCTTCTGCCCTCATTAGGGATGCCTTTCCAGTAGAAGTCAAGAAGAAACAGGACCTGTGTGGAGAGCGCCTCTGCTTAGCACATAAATGAAAATACGCAAGTTGAATAGACTAGGACCCAGTTAACCTCAAAGATGTTCTACCACCACTGCAGAACAAGCTGGAAGGAGCCCCCCCCCCAGCCCAAACTCTGTGAATTTTAGGCGGCTGCTTCCAAAGGCAGGCTCCCTTTGCTCAGAAAAACCCAGCTGAACCTCTCCTGGCTCCTCCCGGGGGGCCTGTTCCTGGAGAGAGAGAAGTTCGGTCCAGGCCTAGACACTTTCCGGCTCAGAGGATGCGGACTTTGAGAGGCAGCGGGCCGTCCTCCCTGCCCGCACCAGGTCAGACAACAGGAGGCAGTGCAGGCCTCGGGAGGAAACAGCCCTTAAAACACGCCTTTTCCGTGGGCCAGGCACCTCGCCAACCGCCAGGGGACTGTCGTTTTACCCAGAGGCTGCCCGTCCAACGCAGCCTTCACATTAGCATCTGCCTTGCGCCGGGCGGCCGGTCCGCAGGGCGGCTCTCGGTACAGGTCTGGCTCCGGGCTCTCCCGGCGGGATTCGTGGGAACCAGGGAGGTGCCACGAGCCCAAGGCGGAAGCCTTAAAAATCTGTCTCTCTCCCCGGGAGCGGGGCCTAAGTGTCTGCGCGCCCGGAAACCCTAGGGCGGTCCTCTCCGGATTTCTTCCAGGAAGAAAAACAAAACAGAACGAACCCAGACCCCACGTGCGTCTGCCCTACCTCGAGAAGGGTCCTGTGTTCAGGGCCCGCGCAGGCAGGCGCGCGATCGGGCTCCAAATCAGGAGCGATCGAGGTCAGCGCGGCACGGAGAACACCCCGGCCAGCCCCTGCCACTCGAAGGTACTTTGGTCCCAGAGACGTTTCTCTCCTCGTCCCCACGAGCGCCGGCACGCCGGCATCATGCAAGGGAGTGCAGGAGGCGTGCGTCAACAGCCCGGACCCCAGCCCGGCGCTCTACCCGGTCCGGGGCCGCGTGGCTCCCGGCACAGCTCGGCGCCAGGGCAGGCGGGGGCCCCGGGCCCCCTGCGCCCAGCTCGCCGGGCTTAGCGGTCCTTCCGGTGCAAGGCCCTTCCTGGCACTTTCTCTTAAAGCGCTGGGAGGAGAAGGGAGGAGCGTTTGGTTTAATCTGAGGTGCCAAAGGCCGCCCTCGTAGAGAAAGAAAAATCAGCAAAATCGCCTTAGTAGTTCAACCAAAGGTCAACAGCAGCATTTCCCCAGCAGCTGACAGGTCAAATGGCCAGGAAACAACTGCCGAGAACAAAGTCCCCCGCTGTTCACGGGGGCAAGCCTGGCCCGCCGGCACTGAAAGTGTTGTGCTTTTTGGCAGGGGCGGCGGGGAGAGGTTTCCGCCGCGCCTCCCGCCCCATCTCCCTTCCTCTCCAGTGAGCGGGTCTGGAGAGGGCAGGGCAGGAGGGAGGGGGGCCAGGGGCGCCGACAGGGAAAGGGGCGGCTCTTTGATAGCCCGGGTCCGAAACGCCTCTGGACTTCGGAGGCCAAGACCGGCCGCGGGCGAAGGAACTCGCGGAATGCGGCGCGGGAGGAAGGGGCACTGCGCGGCAGGGGCCCCAAGCAACCCGCCAGCTCCCCGACGCCCGGCAGGTGCGGTCGGCGCCCCCGTCCCTCCAGGTACTTGGGTAGCCCTCAGCCCTTTCGGAGTTTCCGACTTGCACATTTGACAAGACCTCCCCTCCCCAAGAGTTTCGCACTTAAGCGCGCGCCGCCATCTGAGAGTCGAGTCTGAACAAAAGGTCGCACTTGTCGCAGTTTGAGGCCCCGTCCCGCCTTGCGTTCCCCAGATACTCGGACCTCCCGCCTCCCGCTCCGGAGCCTGGGGATGGCGGGAGGGGTTGGCGACCCTCCAGCTGGAGCTCGGAGTTGGGCAGCAGGGGAGGAGAGAACAGATCGCTCCACATCAGGCCCGCAAGCCGATCTTCGTTTTTGCGTTTAGGAAGGGCTGGTTTCCAGCCGGACCCGCAGGGCCCATCCCATCCCCGCGCTCACCCTCCTTCACCCCCTGCCCCATGTCTCGGGATCTCTGGGTCGGACTCAGGGCGGGGCCCAGACACGCCAAACCAACAGGCCTAACCTCTCCCCCACCTCCCGCACCGTGGCACTTGGGAGCACTTCCCTGGACTCGAAGGTGGGCAACGCAGCTGAGTCGCTTCGCCCGCAAGACCAGACCGTTAGTGGCTGTAAACAATCGCAGAATAGCCAGGAAGGGTCCGGAATTTCAGGTGACGGAGCCCTCACCGTCTCTGAGGACCTCAGGACCTCGCGCTTGCACACAAACACACAGAATCCTTGCACACCACGCGCACACACCAGTACGCACAAAGGAGTGCGCGGGGGGGATCCCGCAGCCACGAGTCCCTCCAGGCACTTCTTCTCCTGCCCACTAAGGCTCAGGCAGCGGAGCCCCGCCGCATCGACCCTCCAGCTCGCGCCCGGCGCCGGCGTTTACCTTTGAGCAGGCAGATGTCGGTGCGCTCGGCGTTGCGTCGCAGCGCCTGCACCACCAGTGACACGGTGCTGTCCTCGCGGAGGCTCTCGGCGCGCGGGCTGCGCTCGTCGTAGACGATGACGGCTGAGTAGAGGCCGGAGCGCAGGCGGGCGCGGACCTCCTCCTCCGCGGGCAGGATCTGCTCCAGGCTCACCGAGCCCTTGGCCCGCCGCCGCACGATGGTGTTGCAGCGCACGTTGACTGAGCCTCGAATGTAGCCGGCGCTGTGCGCCAGGAACGGTCGGCAGTCCAGTAGCAGGCACTTGCCGCCGCTCAGCAGACCCAGGGCGCCGTGGCTGCCGCTGCCGCTGCCGCCCGCGCCGCCACCGTTCTCGTCCCGGTTCATCAGCCTTTTGAGCACGCTGCAGTCCATCTCCCGCAGCTCCTCCACCGTCACCATGGTCGCCAGGAACCGCGGCTGCTGGGCACGCGAGGAGGCGAAGGGCGCCCGGGCCAGCTAGGCTGCAGGAAGGGGCGAGCGGGGGCTAAGGGAGAGCGCGGGCAGAAGTGGCCGCAAACTTGGCCCTTAGGGGCTCCCACGGCCGAACCTCTTCTCCCGGTCCCCTTCCTCCCACAGACTCGCAGTTACATAGCAGTCCGAGCGGCCTCGGCGCCAGGCAGCACGGTGCCAAGGGGGAGGTGGCGGTGAGGGGAGTGTGTTTACGGGAGAGGACCAAGGGCTTCTTTCCGTTGTCGCCTCTATTGTATTTTGCCCGTTGTGCTGCTCTGGCCGCCGTTCCCCACGAACTGCCGGAGCTCCGCGGTCTGCCCCAGCCAGAGTTTCCTCTCCTCGGCTTATGGATTTATTAATGCTCCTCTGCTCTCCCCCGGGAGGGGGCAGATTCATTACTACCTCGCGAGGCCCCGCCTCTTTCCATTCTAGGTCGCGAGCCCTGCTCCGCCCCCCGCGCTCGCTCCCCGCCCCCTCGCGACTCCCCTCGCCCCGCTGGTCCCACCCCCTCCGCCCGCCCGGGCGCGTGAATGGAGTACCGGCCGCTAGCGCCCAGTCACGGGGACGCGACGTCACAAAGAGCGGAGTAAACAGGGCGCGCGGCTCTCGCCGCCAGGCCCATTCATAAAACCAAGACCTAGAGGATGAGGGAGGAGGCCTCCGACCCGCGGGCGAGCCGCAGCGCCCGGACTTCGTGAATGGAGCTTGGCGGCGCCTCTCCCCGGCCTCCGCGGCCCGCGTCCAGCCCGACCCGAGTCGCCGTGCAGCCATCGCACCCCGCCGCGGTGGTGGCGGCGGCGACGGGCGGAAAACAAAGTCGCCAGCCGAGAAGCCGGCCTAGCGGAGGCCTGGGCTCGGTTTCGAGGTTTCATTCCTCTTCACCTCCGTGCTTGCCCCTTACCAGCCTCGCAGGTGTCCCCCACGTACCCAAGTGGACTGGGGAACCCTGCACCGCATCCCAGCCGGCCCGGCCCTCCTCGCCCCAGGCTCACGGAGTGCGTTCGGCCCGCCAGCCGTTTTTTCTCTTGCGATTCCTCAGCCATGAGCTTCTGCCTTAGCCTGATCGATTTTCATCTTAAACCGTTAAATCAGCTTTATAGCTTCCCGAGGAACGTGGGCAAACCCCAACCCAGACGATGAAAGAGAAAACCCTCCCGCCCCAAAGCCCAGTTAATAGGAGTGAGGTGTGGAGTCTGCTGCTTTACGACCCGGAGGGAGGCATTAATTGAATCCGGAATGTTGTTCCCAAGAAGGAAGGCGGGAGTGCCACTCCCTTCCACGCTTCCTAAAGATGTTTATTTAACCCTGATGCGGGAAAAAAAAACCCCGACGTTTTCGGCTTTTGGAAAAGGTCTCACCCCATCTTGTACTCGTGTGAATTGTCTTCTCAGGAAATGACAATTAGGGTCCACACTTGGTGCGAAGCTAGAACCACGGAAATTGACGCGTAAAGGATTTAATACGCTCCACGGCCGATTCAGGTTTCTTTGCCTTGCTTTTTCCAGGTCAATTCGCATTTTTTTCCCGCCCCCGTTTTTACTTATGCATTTCGTTTCCCAGAGGCCGCTTTTGCCAGGGGGTGTGTGCGCGCCTCGGTGGGGTCACGACAGAAGCCAAAAAGTATTCGCCCATCTTGCCAAGTCTTGTTAGTGAGAATTAACCAGCGAGCTGGGAATTACAGGACTCGCTCCGGGCCTTGGTGGCAGCGGGGTCGAGTCTTCCACTCTGGCTCTGCAGAGGCAACAAGGGCCGCAACCCGCGGGGTCCCTCCCTCCCCTGAGTCGGCCTTCCGCTCCGCCTTTGTTCCCCGCGGAGCGGCTCTCCGGAGATGTCACCTCCGGCCTCCAGGGCCACCCCTCCACTCCCCAGCCCGGCCTCGGCGGCGGCCTCCACTTCCGAAACCTACGACCCGCGCTCCCCTCCCGCTGCGCCCGCGCTCCCGGACCCCCAGCCCAAGCTGAGTGCGCCGCGAGGAGCGCCGCTCACCCGTGGGGATACTCCTTTTTACCTCGGGCTCCAAAATGGCTCTGCAATGCACTGATCCCGTCTCTGTTTAAAATTTACTACTTTGTGCATCGTGGATTCTTTTCGTGGGGAGGGGGCACTAACTTTGTTTAAGGTACTACATTAGGATATTTATTTTGACCACTGACTTTCGGGCTCCCCCTGACATTTTGCACACGAGGCGCGTGCTCACTCTAGCCCCGGGCCTGGAGGAGGCCACCACTGCGGACAGACCGAGGCCGCGGGTCGCTGCGGAGGGGCGGTCAGCGGTCAAAGGCTCGCTGCTTGGCTTCTCCGCTGGGAAGGGGTCTGTACTCCCTCCAAGGGCAATGGGGGCCTCTGTCTGGTTTCTCACGTGCTGAGGTGGCCCTGAGGCTCCGTGTAAAGACCCACTCTCCCTGGTACACCAGGAGCGCGCCCTTCCCAAGGGGCTCCCACGCCCCGACCGTCCCCGGCTTTCCCGGGCCGCTCTTGGGCAGCCAGGCCCGCTTCCAGGAAAACGCCGTTGCCTTTCCAAGGGCTTGAACTGGACATCTCGTGGAAGAGCCTCTCAGTCAGAGGCAGGTCCGGGCCAACTGCGCACGTGTCGCAGGAGCTGGGAGACGTCCCCCTGCCGCACCCGCCGGGCTCTGCTAGCCTTTGTCTCCCCAGCGCTGGGGGCGCCTCCCCGCCCGCCTGACCCCCGCCCGGCGCTCACGTGGCCCGTAAGTAACAGTCAAATCCGGGGTGGGGGGGGAGGAAAATGCCCACCAAACAAAGACTTGCTTTCTGCACCTGACAGTAATCCGCGGTCGAAGCCCGTAAATCCCTCAGGCAATGCACAAGGAAGGGGGCGTGGGCGGGCGCGTGTGAGCGTGTGTCCACGTGTGCGCGCCCGCGCCTGCGCTCCCGCTCTCTGGAGGGGAGCCGGAGCTCCCACTTCACGTAGCTAAGCCGAGAGCCGCTTGCGTTACGAACGCGAATGCCTCATTTTTGAAGAAGACTGCGGAAAAAAAATCCTCCCCCTTCAAGTTAGGAATTAGCTTTCAGTTGTGTGAATTTCAGCCAACGAGATTTAAATTTCGTATTTATCCGGGTCCTCTGTAAGCACCCTAGATAATTGTTTTAATTTTAATTTTTGGTATTGTAAGTATGGGGGCCATTTGCTACACAGTTAAATGAATACAATGCGAGGGCTACCCGATAACGGCTATAGAGGTGATACAACTTGTCTCCATTGAGTATGCAGCGGGGCGGGGGTGGGGGTGGGGGAAAGGACCTTAATCAGTTTACACAGGAACCTCGTGAAACAGCTTGTCAATAAGTAGATCTTGGAGAAAACAAAGGCATTTAGAAGGAAAACATTGAATGTTATTTCAAAGTTAATTTAATTAAGGAAGGCATAGCTGCAGGAGTTGAGATGGGATTGCCCAAGGAGAGAGATTTTATTTATATTCAGCAGGAAACCTACTTTAAACATTCACTGTGACATGCAAATCCAGCTTCTCTTTTCATCAGACGGTCCTCAGACAGATCTTATTAGTCACTGTCAGGCCTGGCAAAACCCTTGTTCTTATTTAAGAACACTTATTTCCAACTAGGAAGTTGTGTGATCTGGGAATTTAAAGCCCAGAGTAAGGATCCCCAGAGAGGACTATGGCTTCTATTCTTGTTTTGATGCCAACCTCTGACTCACTGCCCTGTTCCCAAGGGCCTGAATAAAACTTGCCTGAAAAATCATTAATGAATTAATCGAGGTGGTGATGGAAAGAAAGGTTCTGTGGATTCCTCTTTCCTGAGTAGAGAGGTTGCCTTGCTTATTGCTCTCAACTGGAACAAGAATGGTCCTTTTTGCATGGAGCTGTTGGCTAGGTTTCTTAGATCAGCTGATTGGGGAGCTTCCCCCCATAGTGGGAATGCTTAAAAGAACTGAGAGGCTCTCTCATGCTCCTCAAGGTAAGAAGTCTGTATATACTGTGTGTTTTTGGCAACAGGTATAGATGGAAATGAGGAACGTCTGTCCTTCCCTGCCCACCGCTGCTCATCAAGTCAGGACTCAAAAGCAATGGAAAGTTTTCAATGGTGAGAATGAACATCACCAACCAACCTCAGAAACATAACCTGAAGGCTTTTTTAGTCCTGACTTTGCCATAGATTTGTTCCATAGCCTCCATTTATTTTTCTATCCACGATACTGTAGTATTTGCTGATGATTTAAAGTGCTAGGTTTCTAACCCAGGGACTCTGCAGAAAGGTTTAATTTGTTGCTTCATTCAGTACTTTATTTTGAAAACGATTCAGTCTAGGCTATACCAGCATCTAGCTTAGTGATCCTGGGCAAGACAGTCTCCCTGGGTCTGTTTCTTCACGTGCAAAATGAAGAGTTTGGGCAGGTTGATTTGTCGGATCTAGTTCATTTCCAGCCCTGTGTGATTCTAAGCAGGAGAGGTCTCTGCCAGCCTGAAACAGCCACCACCCCTCCCTCCTCAAGGCTAGGCACACTGAGATACCACACTGTGTGCAGAACAGTCACTGCTTCCTTTCTGTCCCTCTTTTGCTCATGGAGAGCAGAGTTCGTAGCTTTATGTCTAGTCTAGTACAAATGTCCCAAGCCTCTTGACAAAACTTATTCAAGTTTTTAAAATCAAAATTTGGAAACAAATACTCCAAATAGGAGATAAAAATCAGCTCAGAGTTTTTTTTGGGGGGGGTCATTCTAGCTGTGAATATTTTCATATTCATATATTCAACAAACATGTTAAACTCTGGGGGAAACTTGTCTGAAACACTGTGCCTTCAAAGAGTTTATAATCTGGTTGGTCTAGTTAGGGCGTGATTGTCACTGTAGGTTACTGCAGGGCAGAGTCTAATCAATGTCTTTAGGGAAGAACAAACAAAATGCCGGGGGGGATTCGGACAAGGAAGGGATTGAAATGCCTTGTGGGATCCTTAGGGAAGGAAAAGGCCATTGTGAACAAAATGAATTTCATCTACTTAAATGTTATCCTTGATTTCTCTTGGTCCTTTTTTTTTTCTTAGCTTTCATCCCACCTCTGACATTCACTCTGTCCTTGTGCCTTGTATCTTTTCCTTTCATTTGTTAACTTCACTCTTCCCCAGTGGGTTTCCCTGCTAAAAATAGATGAGCACTTGGTCTGAAGCTGCAAGGGAGCCAAGATGATGCAAAGACTCTGTTGAAAATCTATGCAATGGGACTTCCCTGGTGGTCCAGTGGTAAAGAATCCACCTTGCAATGCAGGGGACACGGCTTTGGTCCCTGGTCACGATACTAGGATCCCACGTGCTGTGGGCTACTGAGTGCGCGCCTCAACTAGAGCCCGCACCACAGCTACAGAGCCCACGTGCCCCTGGAGCCTGCACACCACAACTAGAGAGAAGCCCGTGAACTGCAACGAAAGATCCCACATGCCTCAAAGAAGATCCCGCATGCCACAACTAAGACCTGACGCAGCCAAAAGTAAATTAAATAAATAAATAAATATAATAAAATATACTATCTTAAAAAAAAAAAAGAAAATCTATGCCGTGGACAGTGAGCCGACCTAGATGTGAGATGACCCAAGTGTGCGCCTGACTCTAACTTTCATTGTCATCTTCATCAAATCAGTTTTCTATACCTTAATTTTACCATCTGTAAAAGTAGGGAGGGCTTCCCTGGTGGCGCAGTGGTTGAGAGTCCGCCTGCCGATGCAGGGGACACGGGTTCGTGCCCCGGTCTGGGAAGATCCCACATGCCGCGGAGCAGCTGGGCCCGTGAGCCATGGCCGCTGAGCCTGCGCATCCGGAGCCTGTGCTCCGCAACGGGAGAGGCCACAACAGTGAGAGGCCCGTGCACCACAAAAGAAAAAAAAAAAGTAGGGAAAATAATGTACTTATTTTCTTTTCTCAGGACAACAAAATACCTAAATCACCTTTCCAAGGATCCTGCTGTGAAATTCTTGTCCAAAGCAAGCATTGGCATAAGTGGTCAGAAAAGATTTTGGGAATTGTGAGATTATTTATATTTACATATAAATATATTTAATTTTTAAATTCTTACCTAGAAGTAAACATTAAATCACATTTATTTATGTATTTTCTAAATCTTTTTTTATAGAAAGCAATAAAACAACCAGAAATTAAGACTATCACAGGAAATCTGGGACTTGGTGGCATTATTTCTTCATTGGTGAAACAGTAAAGGAAACAAAGTTATAGAAGACCCCCGTCATGCCGCCTGTTTGATACCACAACCCCAGGTCATCTTATCCCTGATGTCTCCGTATACATTCTGCAGAGGGTCCTGGACACAGTCCTTCCTGCCCAATAATATAATATAGAGAGTGTGTGTCCTGCCTTTCAGATGGTTTAACTATACTTTGCTTCCACATCTTGGCCTTACTGAGGTCTTTTTGTGTAATGGTTGGTTAATTCTCATCATAACTGTACAGGAGAGGACAAAAATCTTCCCTCTATCCTCTTAGGTTTGTTAGTTGGGGCCTGAAAATTAAACGGACGAAGCCAGGTTAACAGGAGAAAAAGCATACAATTTTAATTGATGTTAATATCTCTCTTTTTTTTTTTTAACATGTACAGGGGCTTCACAGAAAAAAGAGAAACCCAAAGAAGTGGATAGACTTGGAAGCTTATATGCCATTTTAATAAAGAGCAATAAATTGTAGAGAAGCAATTAGACAAAGAAAAGGGGGTTTGGGCTTCTAGGGCTGATAAATGATGAGAAAGTGACTAGGAAATATATGGGGGAAACTAATGGTAGATAGGGGTTATTTAGTGAGGACTTATTTGTGCAGACTCATCTGGGTGCCATTTCTGCCCCTGGTGATAAGGGTCATTCTCCTCTTCCTGGTACGGGAGAAGGAGGCACCTGCACAGGGGAAATTTATGCCCTGCTTTTAGGCAGATGGGGCGGGGGGCAGAGAGCTCTTTTCACATCTGTTTCTCAGTTGCCTTTAACTGACAATAATCCTTCTGCCAACGTGGCATAGTTGGGGGTGGCATATTCTGATCCCCTTCATAACCATCTTGAAGCTTGATCAAATGCTGGGCAGGGCAAAGAGAGGCGCCAGAGTCTCAGCTCGAGCCTTCCGTGAATAATGAGTGGGTCCCATTCGGTCCATCAGCCGCTTTAGAAACCCTGTAGTCCTTTAGAAACTAAAGTCCTTACTTCTGAGTTTTCAGGCAGATGGAAGGGGCCAAGAACCAACAATTCCGAAATGAAAAATGTCCACATTTAATGAACTATTTTAGCAAAAAGAAAAATGCCTTTGATACTTCATGAGATTGATCAATTCACATCGGTTGAAATAATGGTTTCCGAAATCAGGGTATGAACAGACTCTCCCAGCTGGATGGGATACTCAGATTATCAGCCCTCCAAAGGAACAAAAGGAGAAGCAGAGGAGAGGGGGAGCAAAAGGGCTCCACCTCACGCTTCTCAGTGGGCTGCCATGACTCCTGCAGAACGACAGCCCCTCCTGTCAGGGGGCCCCATCCCCACATCTGCCCCCATCACCCTGCACCATGAAGCCGCTCCTCAGATTGTGTACATTTCCCTCTGTATGCTATCCCTTGTCTATGCTATCCAGTTTTTGTCTTTATATTACTCACTTATTTATTACTTATTTTCTTTTCGTTTATTTCTTTTTTGGCTGCGTTGGGTCTTCATTGCTGCGCGCAGGCTTTCTCTAGTTGCGGCCAGCGGGGGCTACTCTTCGTTGCGGTGCGCGGGCTTCTCATTGCGGTGGCTTCTCTTGTTGCGGAGCACGGGCTCTAGGTGCGCGGCCTTTAGTAGTTGTGGCGCACGGGCTTAGTTGCTCCGCGGCTATGGGATCATCTGGGACCAAGGATTGAACCCATGTCCCTGCATTGGCAGGCAGATTCTTAAAACACTGTGCCGCCAGGGAAGTCCCCAGTTTTTGTCTTTAAAAAAAAATTATTTGGGCTATCCAGAATCAACATGCAAAAGGAATACAGCTAAATGCGCTTCATTCTTTCCCAGATAAGAATTTTGTTCTCACTCTGCTTTTACAGCTGGAATTAGCATAACAATCCACAGGGGTTTACTCACTGAGGGAAACACCAGGGTCCTCTTTAAGCAGTGGTTAATTACATCCTGCTATTTATCCCATTTATTAGAGGTTAACTAATTAGCACCCAGCCAGCTCCATTTTTAATCTAATGTATTATTCCTCTTTCCCCCCAGACTCCCAGTGTCCTCTGTGTA